TTCATAATAATAAACAAATAAATAAACATCATTGATCAATTAATAACTTCAATTATTTACTTCATTATTTTTAATTCTTCTAAATTATAATAACTGAAAATAAAATTTCAACTATTTAAACTTAGAACAACAAATAATTAAATAAACATTGCTTGATCAATTAATAAACCTCTTTTCAAATATTTATTTTATTATTTATAAATCTTTAAATTATATAATAATTGAAAATAAATTCCAATTATTTAAATTTAAGATAATAAATAATTAATAAACATTGTTTTAGCATTGATCGATTAATAAATTTAGCGTTCAAAAAATAAACAGCTCTCGACTCGAAAAAGTTATGAATTTTAAACCGCTTTGAAAAATTGATAAAAAATAGGTCAAAACCCTTGCAATGCAATGATGCAGATGGGAGATGGTATCTTAGGTCAAAATTTGGGGTACAACAGTTTCTACTATTTTTTATGGTTTGAACTCCCTTCTGGTTTTTACAGTGTTTTTTTTTGTTTTTTTACAGTGTGTTCTATCCTCCTACTTCCTTCACTAATTTTTGTCCCTGTTATATTGAAAAGAATGAGACTTTTGGGGGGAAAGATAACATGACTTTGAACAAATTTGTTGCCCTGTTTTTTATGCTTTTTTAATGTAGCTTGTGTTTGCCTAGTTCTGGGCAATCTTTGGACTGGTTTTTGACAGTTTGGATAGGTTTTTGGCTTGTTATTTTTGGACAACTTGGACAGGTTTTTGAGAGTTTGGACAGGTTTGACACAGTATAGCAGTTCTAACTTTTAGGACTGTTTTGGCTGACTTTGTTGCTGCAATAACTTGTTTTTGAATCTCTTTTCCTTTTGTGAACCAAAATTATCTTTTGTGATTTGCAATTGAAACATGGTCCGTGATTTAAAATTATGAAATCTAATTTGTATGAGCCTTTGAATTGGGCTTAGCACATGATTGAAAACACCTTCTAACTTTCTGATTCCAAACACAAACCCTCATGATGAGATTAGAAGAAAACTTTTCTTGACACTTCTTGTTTAAATTTCAATGAACTAACCAATTTTCTTGTTTGTTTTTCTTTTCATGTGGGGGTTGATGGAATGTGAAAAAGGCAAGGCAAGGTTGGAGAGGGAATGGTGGCCAGCATGAAGCTTGGAATTCTCTTGAAGTTGGCAAATAGAAAGATAGGTCGTGAGGCAAAAGGCATGAAGATTGAATCTTTGAAAAATGGAATTTTAGCAACTTTAGAACTTAGGAATTTTTAGGTTTAGAAATGCTTCATTTGTAGTGTTCCTTTCTTTCGTACAATGTTTCAAGCTTGTAATGGCATGATGGTTTGTAATGGTGCTTGTAAATTGGAATTAACGAAATTGAATGAGAAATGCTTGTAACCAATTGCATACTTGAACAATTTGAACTTGTAATGATAAATTCTTGAATTGTAATAGACAACCATTTAACCAAGTGTTTCTCATCCCAAAAGAAATGAAGTTTGAATTCTTTCCTCCGCTACTTCCTCTAACCTTTGTATGATTCAAGTGGTCATGGTATGAATCCCAAAATAATTGCAAGATAATAAATAGTGACTTGAATCTTGAATATAGTAACTTGTGATGTAAATAATTGGTGACTTGTGAACCAAAGGAAATGGTATGAAATACGAATTTCCCCTATTTCCAATTTGCAATCCAAATCCAAGTTTTCTTTCTCTTTCAATTTCGAATCTTCATAACAAATTCAAACCACTTTGAACATGATAGATGCCATCTTAGTTCAAAATTTAATCCCTCAAGAAACTCCTCAAAGAAAACTTTAACCCATATGAGAAGAATTCCTTGGTTTCACCCTTTAAAGCTCTTGATAAGAAATTTACTTGTAGAAGGAGATAAAGCTCAATGTGACCTTGAAGCAAAAATCCTAGTTTCCTTAACATTCAAATGATGAACATTACAAGCTCAAATCAAAAACCCTAATCCACTGAGCCTTCGTTTCAAGAACTAAAGCCACTACTCTTGAAGTAACTTGAGAAAATCTCCAAAGTCCTAATTCCCACTTTAGTGTTTGAAGAACTAGAAGAACCAGAAAGAAATTGACTTTATTGAATATATACATCTCAAAACACTGTGAAACTCTAATATTGCACAACCACTGAACTCGTGGACCTCAAGTGCCTTTATTCAATGAAATGTATGATATGCAAATGAATTAGTGAAGATGATGTATATGAAATGTGAAGTCTAAGCCAGACAAATGTAAAATGTAGGACAAATTTGGGGTATGACAATTAACAAGTTGTAGAAATAATTGTTATTGGTTGCTTCACGAAAGTGGCGTAAAGCGGAAGATGATAGGTTTGGTTCTTCGCAAAGATTTTACTGAAGCAACTTTCAATCTTCCACACACACTTCAGTGTGTGTGTGTGCTATTGGGAGGATTGTGACCAAATATTCAAGGAAGTAGAAGGGTTGTTGGCGGAGGAATAATGAAGAGGATAGGAAATTGCGATTTACAGCGGGATGGTCGCAGGTTAATACGGCGTAAGTTGTATAAGGTAATGGTGTTCCGCGGAAGGAGGGAGAAATGGTGGATAATTGTTGTGGTTGAGGCGGTGAGTAGATTGATGGTGGTATCGATTTATGTTGTTATAGTGTTACTATGAGAAGAAAGTGGAGCGAACAATGAGGGGGGGGGGGGGGGTTACGCACGAGGAAGAAAGGTTATGTAATGGTGATGAGGGTGGTTGTGTTGCGGAGGTGATTATAAGGTGAGTGGGTAGGTGTTCACAGCGTGACAAGGGCAGTCACCATTTGAAGGAAGAAGGGGAAATTACAGTTGTGGTATGCGGTTCGAAAGCTGAAAGTTGGTGGTGGATTGAATGAATGGAGGCCGACGCTAGATGAAGAACAGAAGCAAGGGTGAGATTGTGAATGTTGATGAAACTGGAGAGGGAGTATGCGTTCTCGATGGAACGAATGAGGTTTGGGAAGAATATTAAGGTTTTATTTTTACATCGGTTAGACATATGGCTTGATCTGGGATATATGGCCTGATGTAATGGTCTTTTATAACAAAAATCCTTTTATTTACCAAATTGTCACCGTGTTTTTATTATTTTAACCATTGTACTTTTTATATCGGTTGGGAAATTGGTCCGATGTAATGCCCTTTTATAACAAAAAATTCTTTTATTTACCAAACTGCCACTGTGTTATATTTTTCCCTAAATCAAATATTTTTTACATCATTAAAAATAAATATCTGATGTAAAATACTTTGACAAATATTTTTTACATCATATATTTTTATACCTGATATAAATACTTTTTCTCAAATATCATATTTTTAAAAGCTTTTATCTCTTCTTTATTATCATTAAAGGTATACTTGTATTATGTTGTAAAAATTTAATGTATATTGAATAACAATTTTTTAATTTTATAATAGATATGAATAATTTATATGTCATAAAAAATATTATTATACTTTTTAATATAATTTTTTAAATTTATATATATTGATAATTTAAATCAATTAATTTTAAGTTAATGTAATAATACATATTTAAAAAAACAGTATTAACAACCTTCATTTTTAATTAAGAGAAATTTGTTTCTTGAGAAGGTGTTTTCTATATCATAATATATGTTTAATGAAACTATTAGACTATATTTATATTCCTATAAATTTTATATAATAAAATAATACAATAAACGTTAATTCTAATTAATACACATTAATTCTAATTGATTCTTAACACTCTATTAGTTTGAATATCTATATCCAAAAAGTCTTAAAGATATAATATTAAATTATTCAAATATACATATTCGAAAATCTTCTAAAAATATCATGAACTTTGGTTCAGCCATAAAGATATATCAAGAAATCTCTTATTAACTAGCTTATCAAACCACATCTATTTTTACTAAAGAAAGCCCTAGACAAATTCAGACGAAGGTCCGAATGTAGCTCAATTGTCATCAACCTTTTAACTCCCAAATTGACAATTAATCCAATTTTTTGTGTTAGCAAATGGTCATGGAGAAGCAAAGGATCATCGATACTAGAAACAGGTATCAATAATATTAAAAACGAGTTACAGCGTTCTGCGCTTTAAGGCTTTTAGACTTAGTGACTAGCTGCCTGACTATTGTGTAAAAAATGATAATAAAATTGACACTTACATTGACAACTATTTATTATATAGAAAGCCATATGTTACGAATATAAATATATAAATATATAAATAAATAAATAAGAAGGGTATATGTTGTTACCAAAGTTTGAGTTTTCTAATAGAATCTCTGATTTTGTCTATACATGAATGTTGTTGCCGTTTCTGAAGCCTTCTATTTTTTATTTTGTCTTGGTTTTCCTTCGAGTTTGTTTTGAAGCCTAGCTCAATTTTTCTCATGAGAAAATTATTATTTATACAATATTATCATAAAAATGGTCTAAAGGTGTGTTTGGTGAGTTAAAGGACTCGAACCTACCACTTGTGGCTTTTCTCAGCTTCAAGGAGGCAAAGTAATAAATAAGTGTTTTTAGAAAGTTTTAGTCCTCTCTTACAACTTTGTGACACACCATAAATAACTATGAAAGGTATTTCTCTAGCAGAATTAGCTAGCTTCATGCTTTGTTAATTTTCCCCATCACAAAAATGATGAGTCCATATTGCATTTATTCGTCTTCGTGATTTCTGTCCACACGTCTGGTAAGTTTTTTAAGGCATTTTCCTAATACTTCACCATAACTTTTTTTTTTCATTAGGGTTTATTTTTCCAAATATTTTGTATTTATCGATGGCAGTTTTTCTTTAGTTAGTATTAGTTTTAATCTGGATATCAATATCTAAACTGTTATGTGCATGGTTCTATGTATGCGATGTTCTTATGCTTCTATATATGCACCCTCTTGCAATCACAGATAAGATCAGAAATTAAGAGAGAGAAGAATTGAAAGAAGAAGTACAAGAAAGAGAGGTAAATTGATGAGAGATGACTCTTCAACGTGATTCTTGGGTTTTTGTTTTCGGACTCCTAGGTATGTATGAATATTCTATAAGTGATTATAGCCTTAGTTTATTATTTTATATGTTCACTCTTTCATAAACACAATACTATCTATTTTCACTTACTTTTTTATTCATTCATTGATCATTTTATCACCCTTTGACACAATGTTAAAAACAACAGAATTAACAAAGAAATATATAGGTGGAAAAAAGATTCCGCCTTTAATTTACAATTCACTAAATTTGGTGACATAATTAAATAAAGATTCCGTTTTTGTAAGATTTTTCTTATTTTATTTTAAATATATTGGCTGATTTGATTATTTATAACTGGATTTTATGTTACACTGTGTGCCATGAAGATTGCACGACAACTTGCTCCTAATTTCGATAATTGTTAAATTATATTATTATTAAGAAACTCTAGATATTTCCATATAAAAAAAAACAGAAACTCTAGATATTAAGAAAACAAAAAAATAGGGTTCTCAAGTACTTACATGCTACAAGTACTCATCACCGAATAAACAAAGTTTTTCATTATTTTTATGTGAGTTTGCTCTAATATCATAAAGTATTGTCTCATGTGTAAAGTATTGTCTATTAAGATTTTTCAAGGCATTAGTATTAGTAGATCATATATTTGTTGTCACATTTGCAATTTGTATATGATATTCATAAATGTATATATTTATAGGTAATATCATCTCCGTTATGGTCTTCCTCGCCCCATTGTAAGTAATTCTCATCATACATATTATATTATCTATTTTCAATATTTTTCTTAATTAAACTATTTATTAATTAATATTTGAATATGTAGACCAACATTTTACCAAATCTACAAGAAGAAATCTACTCAAGGGTTTCAATCAGTCCCTTATGTTGTTGCATTGCTTAGTGCAATGCTTTGGATCTATTATGCAATTGTCAAAAGGGAACATAGCTTTCTTCTCCTCACAATTAATTCATTTGGACTTGTGGTGGAATCGGTTTACCTTGCAATTTTCCTAGTTTATGCATCAAATAAAGTTAGGGTATAAACATATATATTCATCTATTCAAGGTTTTTATAATTATTTTTTTAACTAATTATTATTTTTGTTTTGAATGTGAAGCTTTCAACCTTCAAGCTCATTCTACTATTAAATGTATTTGGATTTGGAACAATGCTTATTTCAACCCTATGTCTAACAATGGGATCCAAACGTCTTTCTATTATTGGATGGATTTGTCTTGTTTTCAACATAACCGTATTTGCTTCACCTCTATGCATTATTGTGAGAATTATATACCATTTTTTTTAACTATTATGAAATACTTAATACCCAAAAAAGATTATTCTATTTTATTTTTATAAATTCTGAATTAATATTTTTGTTCTTCCATTTTACATGCAGAGACACGTAATAAAGACTAAAAGTGTTGCCTACATGCCACTTAGTTTGTCCTTCTTTTTGAGCTTAAATGCTATCATGTGGTTCTTCTATGGTTTTCTCATCAAAGACTATTACATTGCTGTAAGTTTATTCTATAATAACTCGAAATTAGAAATTTCGTATTGAGTTAATAAATATTAATTTGAATTAACTTTGATGGCGTAGCTTCCAAATACACTTGGATTTGTATTCGGTATAGTTCAAATGGTGATGTATTTGATTTATAGAAACTCAACTCAAGTGATGGTACAAGAAAAACCAACCAAGTTACGTGAACAAAATGGTCATATTATTGATGTTGTGAAGATCATTGACACAAATCAAGGGGACAATAGTGGTGTTCTTCCTGTATCAACTATATGTGAGGATCCAAATAGTGAAAAATAAGAAACAAAGAGTAAGAACATGAATGTAATGTAATGTAACGAGAAAAGAAAATGAAGTTTACTTACTTTCTGGTTTTGGCCAAGTGGGTATTTTTGTTTGATTTATGTATTTTCATGAGTGATATTGGAAATATAATTTAATTAATCTCTATAATTTTCAATGCTTATCTTTAATAGGGTCTTTTGACATTTTCAATATTTAGTATAAATATGCTATACTAGTTTATCAATATTGTATCTAATTTTATCTTCTCTATTTTGATATACAACAGTAGTCTTGTTATCATTCTTTATTCATTCTTCTTCTCCCACTTCATTACCTTGCACCAACAAATTGGTATTTAGAGCACTTGGTTCTGTTTTTCCTGGAAAACACGAGTGATTGTGAGCTGTGTGTTTGATTTTGGTTCATTGATTTTCTATTGAAATCTTGAACAGAATCTGATTCCGTGGGTTGGAAAATAGTGTGTTTGAAGATCTGAAAAATCTGTGCAAGGTTTAAAATGAGTGGAGGCAGTAGTATGAACACCAAACTCCCAGTTTTTAATGGAAAAAACTGGAACATATGGATGATACAAATGCGTGTGTTGTTTGGTGCGCAAGATGTTCTGGATCTGGTTACAGATGGTTATGTACCAGCTGCAGCAAATGCAACTGAAGAAAAAAAAACTGCTGAGAGGGTTATGAGGAAGAGGGACCAGAAAGCTCTGTTCTATATCCATCAGTGTATGGATGAAAGTGTGTTCAAGAAGATTGTTGATTCAACAACGTCAAAAGGGGCGTGAGATTTACTAGTGAGATGTTATGGTGGTGATGCATCAGTAAAGAAGGTGAAGCTTCAATCACTGCGAAAGCAATATGAGAACTTGAACATGAAGAACAATGAGAATTTTTTTGAATATATCTCCAGAGTGATTCTAATCACTAATGAGATGAAGGCATGTGGAGAAACTATGTCTGAACAGATAATCATAGAGAAGATTCTGAGGTCGCTTACTCCTCAGCTTGATTACATTGTTGTTTCTATTGAACATTCTAAAGATATGGAAACCATGAAAATAGAAGAATTGCAAAGCAGCTTAGAAGCACAAGAGTTACGTTTGTCTGAGAGAACTTCTGAAAGGGAAGCTGAGCAAGTTTTGAAGGCTTCTTTTGTCAAGAAAGACCAGAAGCAGAATAAACGTGGTGATAGATTTCAGAAGTCAGAAACCTCAACTTCTGATGATAAGAGATATCATAAAGGAAAGGAGAGGTATGAAAAAAGGAAGGTTCAATGTTACTCTTGTAAACAATTTGACCATTTTTCCAGAGATTGTAGGTCAAACAAGGAAAGGAAATCAGAAGAAGCGTATACGGTTAAGATAAACTTTGATGATGAACCTGTGCTACTAATGGCTTCTGATTCTGGTGGAAAATGCTCAGAAGATTGATGGTATATGGACACTGGTTATTTAAATCACTTAACTAGAAACAAACAATGGCTGACAGAGTTTGACTCCAGAAGGAGAACAAAGATCAGATGTGCTGGCGACAAGTATCTTAATGTAGAAGGTATGAGAGATGTCAGAGTTAGAGTGAAGAATGGGAAAGACATTCTAATCAAAGACGTTTGGTATGTTCCTGGTATTAAAAGCAATCTGATGAGCGTAGGTCAGCTGATTGAGAAAGGTTTCTCAGTTATTATGAAAAACAATCTCTTTACGTTGTATGATTCCAATCAGAAGTTGATTATGAAGTCTGAACAAGGAAGCAACAAAACTTTTAAGGTGAATGTAGAAATAGATGAAGCAACGTCTCTTAGTGCAGAAGGCGTTGAAGATGACAGTAAGCTGTGGCATAAGAGATTGGGGCATCTGAAGTATAAAAGCCTAGGGCATTTATGTTCTAAGAAGCTTGTACATGGTATTTCGAAGATTGTGAAGCCTAAGAAGTCATGTGAGATATACATGAAAAGCAAGCAACCCAGATTGCCATTTGCATCAGAAGTAGCCCCCAAAGCGAAGCATGCTCTGGGAGTAGTACATTATGATGTGTGTGGACCATTTCCAGTACCTTCACTTGGAGGAAACAAATATTTTGTGTCTTTTATGGATGAGTTCACAAGAATGTCATGGGTAACACTCATCAAGTTCAAGCATGAAGTGTTTACTGAGTTCCAGAAGTTCAAAGTGAAGGCTGAGAAGCAAAGTGATCAGAAGTTGAAGATTCTGAGAACGGATGATAGAGGTGAGTATAACTCTACAGAGTTCCAGAAGTTCTGTGAGGAGAATGGAATAGAACATGAGGTTACTGCTCCATATACTCCTCAGCACAACGGTCTTGCTGAAAGAAGAAACATAACTTTACTTGATATGACCAGAAGCATCATGAAAGAAAAAGGCTACTTCATGTGCTATGGGGAGAAATTGTTGCCACATCAGCATATATTCTGAACAGGTGTCCAACGAAGAAGCTGGAGGAAGTTGTTCCTTTAGAAAAATGGACTAGAGATAAGCAGACTATCAGTCATCTGAAGGTGTTTGGCTCTGTCTGTTACAAACACGGTCCATAAGCTAGAAGACAAAAACTGGATGATAGAAGCAAAGTAGTGTTGCTGGTGGGGTACCACAATACAGGTGCGTATAAGCTTTATTGTCCAAAAACTTATTAAGTTGAAGTCAGCAGAGACGTTGTGGTGAAAGAGTCTGAAATATGGGATTGGAACAAGTCTCAATCAGATTCTGGTGTAGTGCCAACACCAGAGTTAGCCTCTGAAGATGTTTTAGAAAGTTCATAAGATGAATCTGATTCTGAAGATTCTGAAGATGAGTCAGAAGAAGATTCTGACAATGGATCTGATTCTGATCCAGATGCTGATGATGATCCAGAATCTGGTGGTGGTCATAGTCCTGGAAGGGAAAACTCTGAAGGTGGTAACTCTGAAGGTAGTAGTTCTGGTGCAGCTTCAAAACAAGCTCAAAGACTACAGAGAATCAGACAAAAACCAAGAAGGCTTGCAGATCTCGACATGTTGCAGGATAACAAAGTTGACTCTGAAGGAGAAGTCGTTTAATGTACCATGTTAGTAGATTCTGAACCAGTGGGCATTGAAGAAGCTCTCAAGAAGAAAGAATGGATGAATGCCATGAAAGAAGAACTTGAGGCAATAGAAAGGAACAAAACGTGGAAATTGACTAAACTTTTAGATAAGAAAAAATCCATCAGCGTTAGATGGGTTTTTAAGTTGAAACTTAAGCCAGGTAGTTCAATTGGCAAGCACAAAGCTAGACTAGTAGCTAGAGGTTTTCTTCAGAAACCTAGGCTAGATTATTTTGATGTGTTTGCGTCTGTAGCTAGGCATGAAACAATCAAACTGGTGATTGCTTTAGCTGCAAATAAAAATTGGCCTTTGATGCATCTGGATGTGAAGTCTGCATTTCTGAACGATCCATTACAGAAAGAAGTTTATGTGTCACAACCTCCTGGATTTGTGAAAAAGAATTAGGAAGGGATGATATACAAGTTTAATAAAGTTATGTATGGGCTGAAGCAAGCGCCCAGAGCTTGGAATCTGAAAATTGATTCGTTTTTCAAGAAGTAGAAGTTTCAGAAATGTGAGATGGAATATGGAGTTTATGTGTAACACTCTGATAACAATATGATTCTGGTGTGTCTCTATGTTGATGAAATTTTGCTAACAGGTAGCTATCTAGAAGATATAAAGAAGTTCAAAGAAGTTATGATGAATGAGTTGGAAATGATAGATCTAGGAAATATATTTCCTATGGATGGAGATTATGTACTCGAAGAAAGGTATCATTCTACATCAGTTGAAGTACGAACTTGAACATCTGAAGAAATTTAAGCTGCAGAATTGTAAAGTTGCTGTGACACCATTAGAAACCAATCAAAAATTGGATTCTGACTCTGATGGTGACTCTATTGATACTACAACCTTCAAATAGATGGTTGATTCTCTAAGGTATTTATGCAATACTAGACCTGACATTTGTTATGCAGTTGGATTGGTTAGCAGATTCATGAGTAATCCAAAATGGTCTCATTTCTAAGCTGCTGTTAGAATTCTGAGATATATCAAGGGAACCCTGAAATATGGTGTGTTGTTTCCTTCTAAAAGAAAGACAGAACCAAAATTAGTAAGTTATTCTGATTCTGACTGGTGTGGAGACAGAGTGGACAGGAGAAGTACTTCTGGATACTTGTTTAAATTTCTGGGAGGTTCCATTTCCTGGAGTTCCAAGAAACAACCTATCGTGGCTCTGTCAACATGTGAAGCTGAGTATATTGCAGGTGTTGTAGCTGCTTGTCAAGCTGTTTGTCTTCTGAATCTCTTGCATGATCTGAAGATTGAAGTTGATGAACCTCTGAAGCTGATGATTGATAATAAGTATGCAATTGATCTTGCCAAGAATCCAGTGCTACATGGAAGAAGAAAGCACATTGAGACGAAGTATCACTTTCTCAAAAGTCAAGTGCAGAAAGAAGTGTTGGAAGTTCTGCACTGCAACATTCAGAAGCAACTAGCAGATCTTCTGACGAAGGCAGTTAAGACAGATCAATTTCTTCGCTTGAGAGATGAAATTGGTGTTGTTAGCTTCTGATAGAATATCTAAATTAAGAGATTATATTGGAAATATAATTTAGTTAATGTCTACAATTCCCAATGCTTATCTTTAATAGGGTCTTTTGACATTTTGAATATTTAGTATAAATATGCTATATTAGTCTATCAATATTGTACCCAATTTTATCTCCTCTACTTTGATATACAACAATAGTCTTGTTATCATTCTTTGTTCATTCTTCTTCTCCCACTTTATTATCTTACACCAACAAGTGAGTAGTTATGTAATTGTAATGAGCAGTTTTGCTTGTAATTTCAATATATCATATTTATTTTTGGTTGTGAGGTGATGAAAATTGATTTTGAATGAATTCTATTTTAAAAATTGATTATATACAAAGTGAGATGAATATAAAATCATTTACTTTTATATACAT